AAAAAAAAAAAAACACCAAAAAAAAAAAAAAAAAAAAACAAAAAGAGAGAGAGAGAGAGAGAAGCAGGAATTGAGGATAACAAACTGCACCTTATGTTTGTGAAACAGTGTTAATGGGAACCTGAACAAAGCCATTGGCTTAGTTCTGAAAATGCTGTTAGATTTCTATATAGCTCACAATAAGTGCCTCTGGCAACTGCAATGTTTCTTAAATTACAGTCAATTACAATACATTCATGCCTATTTCTTCCTATTTCTGTTCCTTCTTGTTAATGAATGGGGTTATCCTAAAAAATATGGAGCCAGGGCAGGATATCAATATCAAAGGAGGGCTCTTGCAAAATTCTGCCAATTGAATTTGCTATGGTAAATTTGTAGCTGATTTCGCAGGGGGCTCAAAATTTCAACCATTGTTACCCATTGCACAGATAGTGGTCATACAAAGATGCCAATGTCTCATGAGACTCCAGCTGTGACTTTATGTAAAACATCCTATTCTTGCCTACAAAGCTGATCACTTGTTGGGGTGAATACAACTATTCCAATACAAGTTACTTTATTTTGTGTGAGTAAAAAGAGTTTAAAAAGATTACAACAAAGATATATCAGATTGGCAAAACTGTTGTAAAAAAGCATTCTGAATTGGATTCAAACTGTTCATTCAAAAGGTATTAATTACCAGTTTTTTGAAGTTGTCTGTGTAAGTTAGCATCACTGAGAAATGATGATAAACATCTAACCTGTGTCTAGTGGCTGGGATGTAAGGCCTCCACTACAATTTGCTTTACAGGAAGGTTTGGCACTTCTAGAACATCAAAATCAAAGTTACTTTTTGTGAGTGACATGCATTTTATCTGTACCCATCTAAAAGTTAGGTGTCTAGCTGAAGTCAGCTGTCTAGGCCCTTTGATGGAGTAAAATAGGCAGCTCTGGATCATCACAGGATTGTCTATTGCAGAGGGAATAAACTACTTCCTGAATGTATTTCTGTTCCCAGCGATACTCTAGAGGGGCTAGAGATCATGTGGAGACTAAACTTCCAGTTTTTATCTGAGTGTCTGTAAATTAAACAAACTCCATTCTTTGAGGTGTAAATAGGCAGCTCATAAGGGAAAACAATTTTGATATCATTTGGGATAAAAAAAACAACAATAAACATTGCTGCTTAACTTCTACCCAAAAATGGCCTTTCTTGTAATTACTTCCAATGTCTCCTGAATGGTTCTATGTCACATCTGCAGGAACCCTGCATCTGAAGATAATTTTGCTAATGTTAACATATTCTCATAAAATACCCATGAGCAGCCATTAGTTAAGGATAAACACAGGATCCTGCTTTTCAAGAGGATAATCCAGATTTTACCCTGTTCCCCCTGCTTAACCAAGAATATCAAAGAGCATCACTCTGTGGTGCAGGACAAGGGCTTCACTCCAGCATTCTTCATTTGCTGTGTGAACTTCGCACCACCCTTTTCCCTTGTAAATTTGTGCTTGTCACTGTGTGATCCAAATCCTGCCCTATCCTCATGTAAGTAATTAACATACCAGAGACTCAGTTCAAAGTTGGAACCCTTCCTTCAGCAACACATCCCATTGTCTCCTATGACAATTCCTACCCGCGCTGCAAAGGAACAGGGTGAGGTTCAAGATGAATTTATGGCTATAGAAGGGTTCATCCATCTTAACATCCTGCCCCAGTGCTTGTGTACATTACACCATGTCTCCAAGGGTTTGGGGAATGATTTACTCATCAAGGCTGTGAAGGTAATTCTGCATCACCTGTCACTACAGTCTATTACACTGTTTGCTTACCACCATAAGTTAGCTATGGTAGCACAAATGTATCCTAAGCTAACTATGCCTGAAATCAGTTTCAAATTACCTCAGAAACCCAGCATGGATGGGGCCACTGTCTCTTCCTCCAAAGGCACTTTACACCCAGCCAGCTGAGAAATTATGCAAGACTACAACTGTTAATGAGGCCAGCACAGTGGCAAGGGGGGAAGCTGCCTTTTAAGCTGCTTCATACATTATCATTGCTGGACAAATTCAAAATCCAGCTGTCTTTGCTTCTGACAACACTGAACAAAACAAAACACAGCTTGATTTGCAGACACAAGATTAATACTGCCGTGCTGGCACTTAGAAAATACTTGCCATTAACTTGTAAACCAAGATTTCTTCAGACTTGAGAATCACATAAACTTTCTCAAAGTTTAAAGCATCAAGATCCAAATTCTCAGACAGTAATTTTCAGAAAATAACTATAGTTTTTAAGGTTGTGTTCAAGTTCTTCCCCCAGAGAAGCTCTCTACTTTAAACAAAGTCAGAAAAGACTGGCTAACAATTCCACCTTAAGTTTCCTTTTAGGAATACTTTTTTTCCTTAAGGCAAAACCTACTAACCTTCAGTGAAAATACATTAATTATGAAAGGTTAATTTGAAAAGTTTTCTGAATATTTATGTCCTCTTCACCCGAATTAATTTACTTGTTCCACGTTGCTTTTGTAGACCTACAAAAGGAATGCAGGTATGCAGAAGAAGAATAACATAAAATTATGGCTTTTCTTCTCAGCATATAAAAATGCACATTTTTAAATCTAGAGATTCCTGTCTTGATTACTGGATTTCACTCAAGAGACTCACTGTGTAACTGCCACATGAACTTACTTTCCTCTAGCTGCTATGGCTTAATTACACTTTATTCTGCTGTAATTGCTCAGATGGTAAGGGTAATTTCTGGCTTTGATGAACAGCCTAAAGGTTTCTGTCCACAATAGAGCTTGCTCCTTTTTGGAGTAATAAGGAAGGGTATTTAATCCTACATGTATGATAATTTTGTTGGAGCCTGATCACACTGTGCAGTGTGTGCCTTTTGTTTGTTCACAAGCAGAAAGTCCAGTTAGTCTCTGTAAACCAGTAAGAGCTGTGACAGACAGGATTATGCTACAGAACAGTGTTTGAAATGGTCTCTTTGGCAGACAGAAACTGTTTGGAAGAGTTTCTTGGTGCCTATACTCCCCCTTTCTTCCCCTCCCTCAAAATGGATGAGTTTCCCATTCATTTGGACAAGAATCAGAATCCAAGGGAAGAGAAGCCAAAGGATGCAACATCTGTCCCATTTGGGGATGTGCAGAAAAGGAATATTCTCTGAGTTACTTTTTAAATTTTTCCAACTACCCCCTCTCTTTGAAGGATGCTTAACCTACTTGTTACTTGATTTCTTAACTTGGCACATCATCTGCTCTACTCCATTTAAAAAAATTCCTTCTTGATTTATGTGTATCACACACTGAGTTCCCCATTATGGAAGCTCTCATCAATTGTTCTGCATGATTTTTTCATGGCATCCTTGAGATTTAAAGGCATCCTCAAGAACTGGCAAATGACCCTTCCCTAAAGATTCAATGCCAAAGTGGTACAGAAAAAGTGCAGCAAAGTGGCTTTGTGCCAAACAGAGTGCAGAAACAACAAAATGCTCATGCAATAGAGGAATAGATAAGTAGAACCAGCCCCATGAAACTCTATTCTTGTCTTTCTAACACAAATTTGGATAAGGACTCAACACATCCCAAGCACACCCATAGCTGTCAGTGCAGAATGCAAGGACTGCTGCTGCGTGGCATCCAGGGCTACAGCTGGTGAGGAATTTAGCAACAAAACAGGTTTTCACTGGAAAATGCCAATTCATCAGAACTGAAATGCTTCAGGGAGACATATCGTATTCAATGAACTTCCAACACAGCACAGGCAAGGCTCCAAGCTGGTTTCCTGCCAGCTCGCCTGGTGGGCTGCCTGGAAGCCTGAGCAATCAGGGTATAAAACTCCAGGACTGCCCTGCCATGCACACTGCCCTGTAGCCAGGGACCACAAGACTTCCTGAAGCTTTGGGCTTCCCTGTTTTATCCAAGGCTCAATTCCCAGATCTGCAAAAGGAAAACCAAAATCCGTGGGAATGCTAGCTGGGCTGTAAGCACCAGACCCTGCATTTCCCAGCCCAATTTTACTTTGAATTTTACTTCTAGTACAGCAGTTTTGCTTATTTTTCATTACTTCCTCTCTCTCTTTTTTTCACCCTACACTGGGAAAGCATATATTTTTTAAAAATCCATGTTTCCTTCTGAAACAGAAATTTCTCCAATTTTTTTCCCCCGGCACTCAGAACTTCCTGCAGAACAAAATGTTTGCTTTTAAACCAGTTCTACTCAGCACATTCTTCCTCTCTACAGCCTGTTGCTTGTCCTCTCCCAGCAAAATGGAGCCAGATCATTCTGCTACTTTTCAGGCCTTATGTGCTGAGGAAAGGAGGACTTGGCCCATCATACCATTGTATTCAGAAAGAGAAACCTGATCCTGCTCCGTTAAGGGGAGGAATTATTTAGGCAATAATTTGCAGTGATTACACACTGTTTGGTATGTTGTCATGTGCCATGTTTGCACTTCCTCTGCCAACATACGGACAAGGATGTGTGTAGTCACTTATTAGGCTTGCACCAGAGACAAATGGAATAGCAGCAGGATTAGCTGTCATTCATCTTCAGTTGAAAACCTTTCCTTGGCTTGTGGTTGGCTAATGAAATCCACATCGCCTGAATTCATGGTGTTCAGCTGGCTGCAAAGAAAAACCCTCAAGATGCTTCTAATTAGAAGTTGTGAATAATGGTCAACTTGTGTGCATTTTACAGACAGCCACAAAAATCTGCACTGCCACTTTGAGGAATGAGCCCAGAGCCGGGATTCACATTATGTATGCAGACTCACTTTTCCAGAGGCTATATGAACAGGTGTCTAAATTCTCAGGTCAACAGTGGGTGCTAGTGTCCCCCTTGAAAAAAAATTACGCTAGATAATGAGTATGACTATGCGTCACGCTTGCGATCGTATCACTCCATAAGAAAGACTGGTTTCACTGCTTTCACATGGCATTTAATTGAATTAACAGTAAATAGTATTCTCACTGAAACAGTACTTCACTGTGTATGTGAAATCTCTCAGGACTACAGTAGTACCTAACACATGCTAATGAGAAAGTTTTAAACTTGCTCTCAGTATTTATCTATACGAAGATACTATAGTTTCAGAACAGTTTATCAAAACAAAAGTAAGTCCTCTGGTTTTGCATTTTGACAATTAATATATTTTCTAAGACTCAAAAGACCTGAGAGAATGCTATTTCCCTTCCCTGTTTCTAGAAATAAGGTAGTATATTCTATAAAGTTTCTAATTTCCTCTTGCTTTTGGTGCTGTAGACTTTGCTCCTTGCAGAAAACTTCTTACTTGGGCACAAAGCAAGCCAAATAAGATGGCACTGAACAATAAATTAGGCCTTGTTTTTCAAGCCAATGTCTCCATTTTTCTGGATAACCCTAGTGAAATATTTCCATAATTTTACAACCTAAACTCATAAACAACATTTACAACTTAAACACATTAAACTCAAGACATCTATAACTATTAATTTATGTAATTGATCACCTTAACTGCAAGATATGTTGCTGAAACAACATAATTTTTATGTTTAAGAACTGATATCCTCTCTGTTCTTATCTGTAAGTATCAAACAGTACAGTCTGTTGAGTTTGTATGGCAAGATTTTGGAAGCAGAGAGCTACAGGGGTGGCTTCACTGAGAAGCTGCCAGAAACTTCCCCCATGTCCAGTGAAGCCAATTGCAGCTGGCTCTGACATGGACCAATTCCAGCTGGCTCCAAGATGGGCTCAGCTTTGGCAAAAGTGGTAGCACCTCTGGGATAATGTGTTTAAGAAGAGGGAGAAAAGCCCTGCGCAACTGCAGTCAGAAAGAGAAGGGAAAGTGCAATATAAATTCTGCAGTCAGCGGAGAAGAAGGGAGAGGAAGCACTGGGGCAGATGTTCCCCCGCAGCCCAGGATGCAGACCACAGTGAAGCAAGGCCGCCCTCCTGCAGCCCATAAGGGCCCATGCTGGAGTAGAGATCCACCTGCATAACCCCACACTGGAGGAGATGGATGCCTACAGGAGACTGTGACCCTGCGGGAGGCCCATCCTGGAACCATGAAGAGAGGAACACACCCTAGAGCATATTTTCTAGCAGGACTTGTGATCTGATGGGGAAGCCACATTGGAGTCTGTTCCTGAAGGGCTGCACCCTATGGAAGGGACCTGTGTTTTTGAAGTTTGTGAAGAAATGCAGTCCATGAGAGGGACTCGCATTGGAGAACTTTGCAGTGAACTTTCTTCCGTGGAAGGGACACCATGCTGGAGCAAGGAATGAGTGTGAGGAGTCCTCCCCCTGAGGAGGAAGAACTGGTAGATACAATATCTGATGGACTGACTGAACCCCATTCCCAATTCCCCCTACACCACTCAGGACAGGAGGAGATAGAATGAGGAGTAAATTTAAGCTCATGAAGAAGGAAGTGTGGAGGTTTTTTGAAGATTCTACTTCATTTCTTATTATCCTACCCTAATGTTATTGGCAATAAATTAAACTAATTTCCCCAAATTCAGTCTACTTTTTCTATGATGGGAATTACTGAGTGATCTCTACCAGTTCTTTTCTTGAACCACGAGCCTTCCACTATATTTTCTCTTCCCTGTCCAGGTGAGGATGGGAGAGATACAGTGGCTTTGGTGGGCATGTTTGGCTGATGTCCAGCCAGGGTCAATCCACCATACTCTCCATAGCCACTTTTAAGTTACTGGAAGTGAAAGTCATGGTACTTTTGTCTACTCAGGCAGCTAATTGTCAGCTCCAGAATGAAACACAGCTTAGCAATATCCTGCAGACTTCAAATTCATAGCTGGGATTTCTGTCTGCTTGTGGGCTGCGGGAATTTTGAAAGAGCTGTGGGTTTCTCTGATCTCTAAATAGTAATAATGATATTTATTACTATCATGTTTTTTTACTGACTACTGTTCATGTTGAACTTCAGAAGTTCTTCACAGAGAAAGAAGTCACACACACAAACACACACAGACACACACACATATACTTGTCCTACCGGCTTTGGTTGTCACTTTCAGCAAATAACCATCCAAATCGATCTGAAATTGTGGTGTCTCGCAAGGCAGTGAAATTCGAGTCCCATTCCACTTCACTGTGAGGTGCTGCTGGAGGCTGATTGTGCTTCTGCCCAACACAAGGTCCACTGACTTTGTCCAGGAGAAAGAACGGGTCCGACGGGCATCGTTTTTTACCAGCACCTGAAAGGGTGAGGCAGAGGAGGAGCAGTCTTTTGTCAAAACGTACTGACATGTTCCCTGAAAGTTAAATGTCCGTCCATCAAAAGTGTTGTAGTGAGGATCTCCAAACACAGTGCAAACTCCAGGCTCTGCAGGTGAGTGAGAAAAAAAAGTGCCATATCAGGATCAAAGTTGGAAAAAAGCAGTAGATAAGAACTTAGAGATCCTGCTCTCACTTAATCTATCTGCTCTCCAGGGTAGACTGGTGCCCACTAGGATTAAATAAATCTTTAAAAAACAAAAATTTCATTGCTTTAGAAGTCTTTCCCAAAGTGGCTGGTAACCAAAGGCCAGTTCATCCCTGGGGCAGCATAGGAAGACTAACCTGTAGCTTTGTCCCTTAAACATAATGTACAGTCTATGTAGTAACCTACAGTATGTAGGTTATTAAAATGCCTGTGAGCTTTTTCAAATTTCAGTGCCTCCCTGAAATTAAAAACCATCAGATCACTTTAGCAAGAGCTGGTTCAGTTCATATTTTATATATACACACTTATACATAATGTACATTTATAAACTAGGTGTGTTTAAATGTTTTTTCCCCAAAATACATATAGAACCAGCATCTTTATTCAGTGTTACAAGCTACTGTATATGCTGTTTATACACAACTGACTTGTAGTTACTGATATCACCACCAACTAAAAGTCAGTAGTACATGACTAACATGATGCAATGACTGCCAAAGAGCATGGTGTCTCTACCAATCATTTATGTCATTACAAATGGATGGAGATCTCTTATAGATATTTGAAGCCATACAATGCTCAGAGAAGTCACAGCTCAAAGACAGAGCATTTCTATCTTCATTGCAATTATGCTGAGTTACCCTGCAGCTACCCAGCAACTGATTGAATTGTCTCACAACCAAAGATAGCAGCAAATACATTTGCCTTGCAGCCTTCTGGAATAATAGATTCTAACCACATTGCTGCTGTTCCTTGAAGAAGGAGTCTCAAGGCAGAGAAATGCACACTGCTATATTGCCAGTTGTATACCCATGGGCTAAGGCTGCTTTTGAAAGATGATGCCTGTTTAACTAACAATGGCTTGCTTGAAAAAAACAGCTTAAAAAAGCTAAATTCAAATCTACAATCTACAAAAAAAAAGGAGACATGAATATTATGGAGAAGGGGAAGGGAATTGCTCCTGTGGAGTGAAATACAATTCTAACTACACAATACACCATTCCCAACAGAGTTTTTCAGCCTAGGCAGAGTGCAATGCTAAAGTAACTGTAACATTTCTGGTGTTTTTCTAGCTGTAAGGAGAGCTCAAGGAAACCTACATGGAGACACAGCAAATGGAGCTGAAGGAGACCCCAGGAGCCATTACCTTCTTCTTCTCCAGCTGCAATGAAGAACCACCTCCACCTATATTAATCCTGACATACGTTTATCTAACCTGCCCATAAAGAGCAGTAGTAACAGCAATTCCATTGTCACCTCTGGCAACCTGTTTCAGTGTTGGTCTGTCCCTACTGCAAGAAATGTCTTCCTAAAGCCTCATCTCACTTTCCCCTCACCACGTGATGAAGAGCCACCACAGAGCAGGTCCCTGGGTGATTTGTACTTTACCCCTAATTGGCCACATGCATGCTTCTTTAGCTAAGCCAGTAACTCATCTTGGCATCATTATGACCCATCTTTACTGCGTCTGGCAACTAGGGACCAAAAGTTTCAATTCCTCAAGGACATCATGTTGACAACTCCATCAGAAATCAAAATGATCCTTATTTGATCAACATCTTCAGAAAACAGACTTAAAGCAGACCCTGAAAACCAAGACATTTAGGCAAGAGTGTGCTTTTAAAAATGTGCACTTCTGTGATTTTATTTTCCTCACTGATAGCAATAAGGATGTCCATAACTGCTTTCCAAAGTTCATTAAAAGATTAATTGATTCTCCAAAATTGGAACGAACCATATGGCTTTTAATTAACAACATCATTTTTACCAATAGGAAACATAATCTATAGATTTTGTATGGAGACCATCTGACTTTACCCATTAGCAAATCATACTAACATGTTTCTAATTTCCTTATGTATACATCCAAGTATCTGCATGACGAGTACTAAGATACATGTTATTACCAGCTCAGATTATACTTCAGCTATTCCAGCTTCAATTTTTCCTTAAATTTAATGACAACTTTTATGAAAGCAAGGAAATTAACAAAATAAAACAAACCATCAGCCAAACATCAGTGAAGACTCTAGAGGAAAGATCTGATTTTTCTCTTGTTTCTAAAGGACAAGAATGCGGACATGTTATTCATGTTTTTAACCAATCTGTTGGGAGGAGGAGGCTGACTCTTCACCTAAGCAAGTGACTAAGAGGAAAGACATGAGAGGAGCAAACATAATTTAGAGATGTGCAAGTAAAATTGATAGTGCCAATGGGATCCAAAGAAAATATTTATTTTTAATTTCTAATGTGTTATGCAGAGTAATGTTGTTTTATGTTATGCTACATTGTGTCACGTCATATGTCAACTTGATGCTGTGCACTTAAAAATGTATTTTGGACTGGATAGCTGAAGGTCTGATCCAAATTTTGCTGTTTTCTTTAATAACCAAGGAAATGGAGGAGGGAAAATCCACCTAAAAACCATCTGAATAATTGATTCTCTGATATCACTGTGTAAAACATTCTTGAAAGGTTTGCTAAAATTGTGGGGTTTAAAAATAAATCCACACCCTGCGAAAGTGTGTGCGATAACTCAGGCACTGCCAGTAAGAAAAACTGGTTGGCCTAGAAATAAACCTTAAATACTGGGTGTAATAAGACTGCAAAAGACCATCAACATGAAAAGAATTCCTGCCATTTTTAGCTTTTGGGTTGTTGTTTATTTCCTTTTGGAAGACTTTCAATCACATCATATTTTATGGTTTGCTTCTTCTCTTCTTTTTTTTTTCTTCTTTTTTTTTTTTTTTTTTCTTTTTTCCCCTCCTTCAACAACCAGTCTTTTTACTTGGCAATTTTTGAAATCTATTGGAAGCACTGATCTGTAGTTAGGATTGTGTGTGACTTGTTTCTCTACTGGGACATAACAGATGAAGAGGTGATGCTGCATCACCAAAGTTACGTTCCCCAACCATGGAGTATGAATTTTGCAAGCTTATAGTAACAAGGCATAGGGTCACAGGTGTAGGTCTTTCCCTTTTTTCCCCTACAGTAAATTGTTCACAGCTTATTGCCAACACTCCGTGTGTCAGCTAAGGTAGAGCTAGAAAAGGGCAATTCTATACAATAGAATTTAGATTAGGGACTTTCTTATCTAGACATGGTTTCTTTTAATTTAGTAACCTTTGGTAGAAATATTTTCTGTAAATTTTTCCAGTCCAAAAATGGTTTTAGCATCTACAACATCCTTGGGCAAAGGAAATGAAGAATCATTGCCTCTTCCTCATTTTGAAAGTGGCATTCATGATCTTTGTGTCATTTTTTGCTCATCTAGACATGCACATGAATGCCAATTTACCCATTCCCTCTCTATCCTTGAAAAACATAGGTTTTTCAAAGGAGGGCCCCAGAGCTATGTTTAGGAGGCTGTGATTTTTAAAACACTTCAGACACTTAACTTTCATTAAACATTATTGAGAGCTGGATGCAAACACCACTGAACCTCTTTTGGAAATCCTGCATGTTGCTTCCTAATCAATATTCAGACACTCTGGCATTCATATAAGCTTTTGGGAGCTTGGCAGTTTTCACATTTGTTTTTTAAGCAACTAAATATGGACTTCACACTTTTACATTTGACTAAAATATTAAACTACGCGTGTGATTAATGCAGTTTGCTTAGCTCCCACCTAGGGCTCTACAGCTTACTTGCAAACTAATAATAGTATTTAGGTGCTAAAAGTGAATACTATAGAACTGTTGGCATGTTTTTCTTGAATTTTCAAATCATGTTCCCAATTCAAATGAAATAGTGACTTTCATTAGAAAAGGGAGTGTTTTTGAAAACACATGTAGCTGTACAAAAAAGGAAGCTAAAAAAGCAAGAGCATGGAAAAGAACACATTAGCATTTCCTAAGTTTCAACATACTCTCATAAAGAAAAAAAAATCACAACCTGTTTGGCCAATGTGGAGGGATAAAAGTCTGAAAGACCACTCATTTCTATTAACTAGTACACTGAGTACAGGTAAGAACCACTTATTAAACTAACTGGTTGCCAAAAAGTACCTTTCTGCCTTCCACCCAGTGCCTCAATTCCCCCAGACAGTATTTTGCCTTTTTAGAAAGGCAAAATATATATACTGCGTGACGGAGGCCAGACAGACAGTCAGTACACACATCCTGACCAGCCAAGAGCACAAGCATATTGGCTGGGCAATTAACACACTTGTAGCTCCAGACCAGCCACAGGATATATTGTCTCTAGCTGGGTTTATTATTTGTTGGGACATAAAGGAAATGGGACACAAATCCATAGGAAACCAGGCTCTGTTGGTTCTGGTACTCATGGAATAGCTTGTTTTGTTTTTTCAGGAGATCAGAGCAGTCAATTGAAGTCCAAGATGTCCAGATGTCTGGTCACACTCTGCTGGGCTTGTAGGTAGTTAAGAGTGGCCAAGAAAAATATGCTTTAAATTGTAACTAAAATCGGTTTGGACACTTTCTAAGTAAGGAGAAGGAGGAAAAAACACAAGTTTACCAGTGAAGGCTGTTCTGGTTGTAGATCTATAATTCAAAAATATCCCAGCTTTTTAAAAATAAAATTAAACTCTGAATGTAATTAGCCCATATTCTGAATTAAGCCCTAAATCAAACAGAACATAATTGACTTCTAAAAACTAGCTACAGAACATGCATAACAGAATTTCATAGGTTTTCTGTAAAAACTGCATAGCCATAGAGGACTTTTCCTCATAACTGCTGCATAGGGCAGCTTGATATAATACACATTACAAGGTGTGGTGTCAAAAACTCCACAGGAGTCTTTATGGTCTATTTCATAAATAAAATAGCTATTCCAATTTGTCCAAATACATATTTATACAGTAGACCATCACAGCTGAAATGAGAGGTAAATTACGAACAGTGTTCCAGTATGAATAAACAATTGCAGCCTTTTTGCTGCTTTATTTCTTCATGGAAAGGAAATAACAGAAAAAAACAGGAACCTATGTGGTTCTTCAGTCCCACTTCCTCTCACAGGTACCCACAATGCATAACCTCACTTTGTTTCTTTTTCTTTTTTTTTCCTATTCTTTGAAAGTCAGTGCTTTTATCAGTAATTCTATAAAAACACATAAAAAGGATGCAGGACCAAATGGAATACCAACCTCTTAATCCTAAGGTAGGTTCAAATGCCCTTGAATTTGGTTTAACTCAGTTGACCATTCTGTCAATTAAAAAAGCTGTGGAATGATTCATGATGAATGACATTTTCTGTCCCAAAAGCAGCCTTTATTGCAAGATTAATCATGTACTGTATATGAAAACCTAGATGACTGCAGTCCACTTTGAAAAGCTTCATCCACAAAATCTCACAACTGGTGTAAGATTGTGCTAGGACTATTAATAATGATTAAAGTGTATCTACGTGAATTTAGTAAAAAAATGTCATCCTGTGTACTGTAATTTCAGCAGGACCTATGAATTCTTCCTTGTCAAGAACAAAGATTTTACATCCACTGTAAGTTCCTATCTTTGTCTGAAGTTAAGAGAAGTCTGTTAATGTTATTTGAACTCAGGTTTAGTTTTTTCTTATTTTTAATATGAAAATGACCTTGGTCTAACATAGGATTACTAATTTATGGAATTGACGTCAGTGGTGATTTTTCTAAATCAAGCCCAAAAGAGTACATTTCATTACATTTTTACAGCAGCATAAACTAAACTGTTGAATTTTCCACTGGTATGACCACTGTGTTTAATTAGTGATAACTGTATGCCAGCCATGGAGCTTAAAAAGCAACATGCCAAAACTAACTATAGTTAACTTCAGCAACAGTAGACAAAAGAGACTCTCCAGCCCTTTAGGAGATGAGGTACTTTTTCTCTTTGCAACAAACTGCTTTGAAAATAATCCTTTGATTATTTTTTTTTTTCCCAGTTTAAAGTGTATTCTTTCACAACGTGACTGGTTTTGACCCACTTCATAGAAATTGGCTGCATTTAAACTGTACTCAAGGCTCCCCCGTGTACAGTATGTTCTTGTACCTCCCTATGTTGTTTTTACTTAGGAAAATTAATATCTGCTGGAGCGCCAGAAATGTTTGGTGTGTCAGTGTGTAGAGACAGGATCAGGATCAACATGAGTGAGTGGGTGAGGGAAGGGGCTGTGTGTACATCTTATCAGAAACTGTCTGAATTAGCAAAGTTTCCAATTCCTGTCACATGATAGTTGTGATGAGACTTACAGCACTTCTTCTGCAAAGGTGGAATTAATTCTTTGCAAATGGCAAATGTTAAAACATCTAGTGGTAGCCACCACGTCTGTATAACACTGTATTTAAGCTCCTTGATTACATTCTCTGTAAAATCCAAGAATGTCCTGTTAATCACAAAAGTTTGGAATTAGCTCTTCTCCAAGTACTAAAATAGGTCTATAGTGAGATAATTCTGTAAAAAAAAAAAAAAAAAAGACCCCTCTGTTCCAGGTGCAATGGTGGAGCATGGGACTGTGCGACAGGACAACGAGACTCCTAGGCTCAAGCACAGGCAGTGCAATGCAGACCCTTGATTCCTTGATCCCTTCCCATAAGGGAACAAGGTTGTTTATACTGTGGGCAGACCTAACAGCAGTCTGCCAGTACACAGAAAGAGGTCACTGGGAAGATGCAGCCAGGCTCTTTCCAGATCTGCACGGCAGAAGGACAAGCAATAATGATCTGACCTTAATTTAACATGTTTGTAGTCATGATTATTCCCTTCTTATATCATCAAGAAGTTTTGAGATTTTAGATAACCTGGCTCCTAGATAAGTTATTTTAACACTGAAGAAGTGTAATTTTTGCCTCCTTCTCCCATGAAACAATTATCACAAGTCATCACTCTCTGGCAGCATTTCTGAAGGAGTCACTGTACTGTCTTCTTTTGAACCTCTGAAAGTAGAGGGTCTCCTGTGCTTTGAGGCAGTGACTGGCCCCATCTTTTCCTCCCCGCTTATGTTACAGAAGAACCCAGGAAGAGCACATGAGAAAGGCTAAATGAGACTGAAACATAAAAAAAGAGGCAAGATAGAGATTGATAAATCAATTACACTAATGGTATGTCACATCTGAGCAAAGGTCTATACAAATCTCTTCTCCTTTAAAACTGAGCTAACATGAAATCAACTGCTAGTCAGTTGAATCCTCTTTCATTTCTTCCTCTGCTCAGTATTATTTCAAGTGTTTCTGAGGTTGTCCCTTGTATTTACTCTATTTTGATAATGAAGACTTGCAGGCTAGATTTATTTTATCCCAAGATACAGGTTTCAAAATGAATGAGCCCCAGAGTGAAAAAACAGATATTTAGCATATGGGATTTGTGCAATTCAAGAGAACCCAGAAGTGAGTTGAACAGCAAAACCATTTGATTTTAGGCAAAAGAATAGGAACACTTTCTTCTTGCAAAAGCCTTTCTATAGGTCATAAAACCCCATTTTAGCAGTCTGTCCCTATTTGGTAAAATACTTAAGTATGTACTGAAGGAAATACGTAATGGTATCTTGTTAACTTCAGGTCTCCCAGTTGAGTTAAATAGAACAAGCTGAAAGATAAGTATTTGAGTAGGTCCTTTGCTGACTGGGAGGGTGATACTGCAATTTAATGATCATTCCTGAAGAGAGGAATAAAGGGATTAGAATGTAAGAACTGAACTAAACATCATAAACAAAGAAGAATAGTTTTCTATTCTACTTTCCACTGCTGCCCCAGACTGTGTCTGATACTTCTGCACACCTTTTTTTAACCCTCACAAATCATCTAAAAAGGTGTGATTATGTATGCACATAGCTGGACTGTTAGTTATAGGTGTAAAAGGTACCCAAGTCCTAAAGTTATAACTCCATTCATTTTCTTGCTTTATTGCCTACAAATTTCACAGACCAACTATATCTTTCAAAATGCAGCACCACAGATTTGACAAAATAGCATCATTTTGAAAAATAAAATAAAAACAAAATCTTATTTTAAAATTACAGATTTATAGGAGGCATAATCCATGGCTAAAAATAATCACTTGCCCTTTAGCTACCTCTAAAAAGAAAGCAGAAAAGCAAACATACTATTATATAGTTATTTTCTCTGAAAGAATAAAAAAGAATTTAAAGAACGTGAAGAAATAACTTACTTTCAGTGCAAATTGGACAGCATCCTTTTCTGTTCAGGATTTTACCCTAATTGGGAGAAAGACAGGCTATTTTAATGAAAGAGTTCTTGGACCAATGACTGTGTCATGTTGTAAGACTGGATAAGCCTTTGAAAATAATTCAAGTTGTGTTTGAACTCAGTGCCCTGGTTACAACTTCAAATATCAGGTGCTAAAAACAGAACATTCAACGAACTCCTTGGCAGTCTTATAAGAAATGAAATATTAAAAGGGTTCTTTGTTACTACTTTTCTCTTTAGAGGGAAGAAGAAGGGAGAGAAGAAGGGAGAGAAGAAGGGAGAGAAGAAGGGAGAGAAGAAGGGAGAGAAGAAGGGAG